TGAATAATGTATGGATATTGTAGGGAGAAGTTTTATGTTAATCACTTCTGGGAGCTAAATCAAGAGCTTCTTTAGGTGGTGATCATTTCCTTTATTCTCATGACTTCCATGTTTGTTTTAGGGGTGATACTGATTGGAGAAAATAGTTACTAATCACTCTTAGGGGTTAAAGGGTTGAATCTGAAGATGTACAACGATTGAATCTATGATAAGCTGAATTATGTATCCATTTTGATTGCCAAGAGAAACTAAGAGGTTTATCATGATTCTCAAACCAGGTACAAGAAGTAGAGGGTAAAGGAAGAGGTGTTTTTGCCAAAATAGACTTTGCAAGAGGACAATTTGTGTGTGAATATGCTGGTGAACTTATTAACTATGAAACTGCAAAGGAACGAGAGAAATTCTATGAAGGAAAGACAGAATTTGGATGTTATATGTATTATTTCAACTTCAAGGACAAAAAGTACTGGTAAGCACTGTAAAAAAGTACTTTATAACATCTAATAGTGTGTTCCTTTGAGCAGCAGCACCGGCAGAATTTTCTATCATAGGGTCCTTCATTAGAGTTGTACTACTAATTTGGTTATGCCTGGTTGTTTTGTTTTAATGACCTATCACTTTTTTTGACATAGAGGAGATCAAGGACTCTCTACCCCTCTCCTACTTAGCAACACTTTGGAGTAAAATTACACAATGATCCCCACTCCTCTTCCACTTAGCAAAACTTTAGAGCGGTATTTCCTTTACTTTAAGAGTTTTTATTTACGAAAACGAAACCTAATGCAATTCACAGGAAAAAGCAGCGTAGATATTTTTTAATTTTTTGTTATCATTATTTCAATTGGTTAGTGTTGATGCCACGAAAGAAAGCGGCAGACTGGGTCGGCTTTTGAATCACAGCAGAACGGAAGCCAATTGTGTAACAAGGTTGGTGTCAATCAAAGACAGACCTTACCTAATACTGGAAACAAACAGAGACGTCAAAGTGGGAGAAGAACTTCTCTACGATTATGGAGAAAGAAGCAAAGACATCCTTCAATTTCATCAGTGGTTAAAGAGCTAGTGTAGATATTCTTAGTAGGATACAAGATCTCTTCGCCGTCATGTAAACTCACTGGCAAGCAACTCGCCGACACTAATGGCCAACTCGTCAGCTCGCTAACCCTAACCAACGTTTTGTCAATTAAAAAATTTCTTGTAGTCTAAAGTATTTATTGTTGTGTTTGTATCGGCTAGTTTTCATTCGAAACTGTTAACTTTGTTATAAAAGGCCCCGATTTAACCTTGTTTTCAATGAGGAACTGACTAAGTGGTGTCGGCGAGGTGACCAATGGTGTCGGCGAGCTGACCAATGGTGTCGGCGGGTTGGCATATCGGCAAAGTGACCAGTAACCCTGGATAGTCTGGTGACTGAAGAACTGACTCAAATTCTGTGTTGCGATCAGCCTTATCGCTACGAATGGACTGGATGCCAGTTGCCATTCGCTTTTTCTACAGATCGTCAAACTGGATTACATTTGAAGTATGCTCCTCATCCTAAAATATCTCATTTACACCTTGGGAAGCTGCTACAATCTTTAACCAATTTCATTGGTCTCTTTATGATAACGATTTCTGTGAAATTATTTAAAATTTTTTCGTATCGAGTTTACTTGATTTGTAATGATTTTTGTTTTCAAAAGCGTCTTTTTTTCGTCAGGGAATAAAAGGGGATGACCTCTTTAGTTTTCTTCTTCCATTATTGGCAATACGAATTTATCACCTCACTCTCTCAAATTCTTACACGCCTATTCGTGTACAGAAGCGACGGAGTGCTATGAATTATGGGTTGGCGTATCCCCTATGTTTACAGCTGGTACTCGCCAACTAGTAAGTGCGTATGTCATTGTTAGTGAACATGAAATATATCGCCATTAATACTAAACAAAGTGCAAACCCATACTCAAATTTTCGAATAGAGTATCCGCTTCCTGAACACAGGGCCGA